AAAGGATGAATCCCACCACTGCCACCACTTGTGATTAAGAGATTAAATTAAATCAACTTACAATTTATACACATATTCCCAGTGATATGGAACTGGGGAGAGAAACAGGTTCATTACATAACAAAAGTATATCTTATTTAAACATTGGCAATAGGATTTCCCATGACAGTGAAGTGAACTGCAAAGCAGCAAACATTAATTCTTAAACCACTATTTATAATTTTACCTACCCATAATACATCACTCATTCTGGAAACTGTTAGAATGATGAATTTTCAGGAGCTTCTCCTCTTCCACCAGTATCAATGGTTACAAATTAAAATATTCCACTGGGAACACAAACAAGCAATGGTCTCATAAACCATCATATTATAAGCCTAACTGATCATGCCAAAAACAAATGGAAGAAAATCAATTTATATCAAATAAAATGCCACAGCTCAGAGCAACCATCATGGCATCCCTCAAGTGTCTTGCTGGGTCCCCTCAAACCACTTTGAATAATAACAATAACTGTTATGGACACTACCAGAGGGTGCTTGTTCTGGTCTCCATGAAAGCTGAAAGAAAACAGCTTAATAATCTGCTAGTTTGACACGAGATTTTCAATCAAATTCCAAGTTTATCGATAAAATTGATGACCGCCACGAAAACAGAAAGAAGAGGGGGTGAGAATGAAGTTCGATGCACCAATGACAGTCCAGAACAATTCAAATACACACAAAAATATTTCCTCTTCTTTACCATGATAAAAATTTTGTACAATTTCCTTACTTACACTACTATAGTTTCTCACTATCATGGAATGATAGTGAGAAACACTTACATATTCTATAGTATCATATTTTCAACTTAAAAATGCACTTTGAGTTGGCAACAATTTCCCAAACTCATTTTGTTATCAAGTGTTAAGAAATTATTTTTTGAATCAGATGTCACCAAATATCTCTTGACTTCCATATGAAGTCAGTTACCTGAAAAATGTTAATTTTTCCAAATTCTTGATACCAATTCTGCTATACATCCCATCACTATAAAATATAGGCACCCCCTGTTTAAGAATCCACAGGTTGGGAACCACTGGCCTAGTTGCCTTTCATTCAGTGCATCGGTGCAAAATGCTACTGAAAGAGAGAAAGAGAGAGAGAGAAAAAAAAAAAAAAAATGTGGAAAAAGTTCATTCGAAAATTTTACTAGATCAAACTAAGTTGTAAGTTTTATCTGTTATTTCTCAAATAATAATTGTGATTACAAAAGCACAACATATTTTTCTGATCCCCTATATCTTTGGTTCACTCACTTTCTTGACACTGTCTGACCAGAGGTGTTATCACGAAAGATCAGGGAGAGAATATAATCCACTCCTCGTGTTGGGTCTAACCGCCGATGGCCATACTCAATACCACGATATTCTAGGCTTCCTTTGGTTTTCAGATGCATGTGAGCAATACTGGCATTTACAACACTCTGGAAAAGAAGTCAGCAGGAATAGGTAAATGTTCATTATGTTTTTCCTTACATTAATGATCCAATTACTCTCAAGTTCATAATGACATGGCATATATGTTTTACCAAATAACAATGTGGCTCAGACACACACAAACCTACAATAAAATGTTTGTATAATCCACAGTCACATCAGGGCTACCAATATCACCGCAAATGATGCAAATGTGATGCGAGTGCCATGACTTCTATATTGATTGGACTTAGTAAATCCTTGATTACCTGTATATCATTATGTAATAGTTTATACAAAATTTTAATACAAGTACTAGATTTTCAAACTAACAGATGAGCAGATTTTTTTTTGGTTAATAAATAATAAATTTATCTTAATCAACTTAATCATTGCATTTACTTAGTATGCAGCAATGGAAGAGGAAGAGTGTTACATCTTACCATAACATCATGAAGATCCATACCAACCAAAGGTTTTGTGTTATAAAAATCATTAGGAAGGAAAATATGAGTTGTGTTGAAAGTTTCCCATTGGATAACATCAAACCTGCAAAATAACAAAGTATAAATTTAATACAAGCATGAAATAGAAATAAACAAACAGCAAAGAAAACTGTGAAAACAAGAAGCATTTCATCTCCTGAAGAAGAAACTGTAATATGTCCAGCAAGTGAGCCCGCTGAAATTGTAGGCCAAACAAAATTTGGTAATAATTACATGACCACTGACCTGGGCACCAAACAGACTGTCAGTAGCCTACAAAATGGCCTGCATGGAGTCCAGAGCAAATCCAGAGAGAGAGAGAGAGAGAGAGAGAGAGAGAGAGAGAGAGAGAGAGAGAGAGAGAGAGAGAGAGAGAGAGAGAGAGAGAGAGAGAGAGAGAGAGAGTGAGGGAGGGAGGGAGGGAGGGAGGAGGGAGGGAGGGAGGAGGGAGGGAGGGAGGAGGGAGGGGGAGGGGGAGGGGGAGGGGGAGAGAGAAGAGAGGGTGTACTTCAGGATAGCCCAAACTTGCCTTGTTGCAGGGTAATGTGCAGGTGAT